TTAGTAATAAAAAAGGAATATGTAAATGATTTTTTGTATGAATAAAAATTGCCTGAATTTGTGCATATGAAATTACTGTCTTTGGATTATTCAATGTATCATTTGATATATCTTCTAAAACATCCACAGTATCACCAACACGAAGGTTCACATCTACTCGATCATCATTATTAACTATAGTATAGCTAATACTATTAAAATATTTTACGGTTTGTGATGTAAGATGTTTAACACAACCAAGTTCTTCTTTATATGCGTGTCTAAGTTCAGCAAATAAATCATCATTAAGAACTTTCTCAAAGCTAGCAGTCTGTAGGTCGTTCTTGTTATATGCTCCTTGGACTCTTATATTGATAAAATTTTCATCCATGCAGGTTATATTATATATCTCTTCCTGCTCTGAATCTATTATTGATGGCGAAATGTATTATGAATCAAGCAGCATACATACACATCGATCCTTTGACAATGTGCTGAAATTAAAGTATGTTATCTTATCATATCTTTCGTCAATACCACCATTTATTAGAAACTGTAATGCTTGCAAACAATTATCATGGTGCATAAAATCCAGTTCTATATTTTTTTTATTTGAATGAGGGATAATAGCCTTGAAAAGTCTATGCACCATTTCCTTCATAGCAACTGAAATATTCACTAAAGTCGCAAAATTCTGTGCATGCATAATAAAATAGCGTAATATATGAAAATTTGGTAATCGACTAATATTGGAAAAAATCTGAAAAAAAGGTTAAATTGTCTGAAACATACTAACCAAACTATCAATATTAAATTTTCGATTACCTTCGCAACCAGTCTGGACTATAGTATTATACTTTGTTGAAGATTGTTATAATCAACATCGGAAAATTCTTTGTGAAACGTCAGAGACACCATCTGAGAGAAATAAACCTATAAACCTAGCAATTTATCCAGAACCTAACTTTTCGTTATTGTGCATGTCTCAATCACGTATTCGACAAATGTTTTATTTAGCATCGTAATATGTAATGCCCGATTAATGAAAAATTGCATAATCATATTTAGACGAAGATAATCAGAAAAAAAGTATGAGCCTAAATGGGTAATTAGATTTTGTTATCGAGACCAATATGGAGGAAATTTAAAGTCGTGCTAAACTTTCAAAAATTCAGTCTCTCCTTTTGAGGATAAGATTTCAAATGTTGATTGAAGCATTTCTTTGGCAAGACCACCCATGCAATGAAAAGCATCATGCGGACATTGAAGATAACGATCACGTATAACGTTATCAAAGACAGGGATTTTCTTGTATACCGTATTGCATAGCAAGTGCATCACGTTGTGCTTGAGTCTGAACTTTCCTTATGGTAGAAAATTGCAATGTGGTTTTGTGATGATAACGACTATGTCTCGCAGTATCAAAACTAACATTATTCAATTTACTATGATGAATCATACAGTTACGGCATCCATGATGTGCATTGTGATTCTTTACTCCCGCCTGTTCATTACCTTCCAGTAAGTCACTAGTAATGACACCTAATTCACCAGTAACTCATACAGTTTGATTACCGATTTTCAATTCGTATTCACGTTCGAGATCCTGAATATCATTAATAAGTGGTTGGAGTACTTCATCACTCGTTGCTACGAATGGGATAAAACTAAGAAGAAAGTGATTTTTAAGCTTTTGACGAAGCATTTGTTTCATATTACCAATTTGTAAGTAGAGGCCACCGATGGCGTGATATGCAATACGAAATGGACTGAATTTGTCAATATAAATGTCAAGAAAAAATTTAAATATCGGCAAATTATGCGAATAATCCCGAATCGTGATATATTCAATGGGATGAAGGTATCATAAATCAATCGACCTCGTGGTCTACTGCGTATTTACATAATACACAATTTCAGATATAACGTATTGATAGTTATTAGGCTTGTTAACATCAATTAACCAAATATCAACTTTGGATTTAATCTTTGCAGGATTTATGACAAGCATTTCATCAGTCATCCACAGATATCCTTTATGAGAAGCAATTTTTCTTTGTTGGGATTTGAGCATAGGAGGCAATGAATTAAATTTAAGAATACGTTCGATCTTGATACATCTATCTTGAGATTTATCAATGCGTAAGATCGATATAATTCGCCTATAACATATTCGTTGGCTTGTGTCGTAATATGTGATAAAATCACTGAGACTATATATTACTATTTTCATATTAACGATATGATTAATGAATAAATTAGTATAACGGCATATAGATTTTAAATT